CTTTCCCACCAGCACCCCTTTTCCTAGAGGAAGCCCCTGTCCCCAGTTCTCTACTCAAATGCTCTTTAGGAAAACTCCAGACCATCTACTGTGGTGATGTAAATATCTCATCAGCAAAAATCTCTCTCTGTTTCTCTCTCAATTCTTTTTCAATCTCTGGGTTTCTCTCTCTCTCTCTCTCTCTCTCTCTCTCTCTCACTCTTCTTTTCATACATTAGTGCCTGGTCTCATGTTGGCTGCAATATTACTTTGGAGTTCTGTCATGGTTAAAATCAATTGTCAACTTGACAGGATCTAGAATTACCACGGAGACATACCTCTGGGCATGTTTGTGAGGTAGTTTCTAGATTGGGTTAACTGAGGTGGGAAGACTCACCTTGAATGTGGGCAGCACCATCCTGTGGGCTGGAGTCCTGACTGAATAAAAAGAAGAAAGTGAGCTGAGCACCAGCATTCATTGCTCTCTGCTTCCTGACTGTGGATGCGATGTGAGCAGCTGCCTCACACTCCTGCTGCCATGTCTTCCTACCATGATGGACTGTGTCCTCAAACTGTGAGCCATGATGAACCCTTCCTTCCTTGAGTTGATTTTGACAGTACTTGCCATAGCAATGAGGAAGATGAATAATGTAGGTACTATCCTGACCCCTGTCTAATATACACACACTACAAAACATATTTTGGTTGTATTTTACTTTACATTCATTTTGTTTTGCCTGCATGTAGGTAAGTGTATCATGTGTGTACAATGCCTGCAAAGGCAGAAGAGATAATGCCAGGCAGGCTTGGCAGTCCACCTGTAATTCCAGTCTGGGAAGGTGAAAACAGGGGATTCCCAGAGCAAGTTGGCATGGGTGACTAGTGTTCTAGCTAGCTTTTCTGTTACTGTGATAAAACACCTTGGATGAAAGCAACTTGGGGAGGAAAGGGTTTATTTTATCCTACAAAACTCCCATCTCACAATCCATTAGTGAGGGAAGCCAAGGCAGGGACTCAAAGCAGGAACCTGGAGGCAAGTATTGGAGCAGAGACCATGGAGGAATGCTGCTTATTGGCTTGCTCAGCTACCTTTCTTTTTTTAAAAAAAATTTTATTTATTATTTTTATTTTATGTGTATGAGTGTATTGCCTGAATGTGTGCAAGTGCACCCTTGTTATGCAGTGCCCATGGAGGTCAGAAGAAGGCATCGGGTCCCCTGGAACTGGAGCTACAGACAATTGTTAGCCACCATATGGGTACCGGGAATCAAACCCAGGTCCTCTGCAAGAGCAGTCAGTGCTCTTGACCACTGAGCCATCTCTTCACCCCCTCAGCTACCTTTCTTATACAACCCAGGCCCACCTGCCTAAGGATGACACGGCCCACAGTGGACTGGGCCCTTCTACATCAATTAACAATTAAGGAAATGCCTCACAGACATGGCCACAGGCCAGTCTGATAGAGGAAATTCCTCAACTGAAGTTCCCCCTTCCCAAGTCTGCCAAGTTGTCAACCATTTAGCCATTGCATCTATCCACATCAGCAAACGCTGGGTTTGAGAGACCGTACCTCAATGAATAAGATGGAAAAGCAATCAAAGATGATTCTGGCCATCCACCTCAGGCCTCCATATACATGAACACACATGTGTACTCTTCTACATATGTGCACCATGCATATATACACATGCATGGCACCCATGTATATGAAAATAGAAAAAGAAAAAAATGAAGACAGACATGGACCTTTAGTTCCAGCACTTGGGAAGCAGAAGGAGGTGGCTCTCTGAGTTCAAGGCCAGCCTGGTCTACATAGTGAGTTCCAGGCCAGCCAAGGCTACACAATGAGACCCTGTCTCAAATAATAAACAAACAAACAAATAAATAAATAAATAAAATAAAATATGAAACAAGGGTGCTCTGTTCCTGCCTCTGAGGCCCTCACAAGTATGGGCAGTGTTCCAGAGGGGGTCCCCCTTCCCCATCCTACTTTTCTGAAAAGTCCAGTTGCCTGTGCCAAAGTACACATGCTCTGTCAGCTTTTCTTTTTCCTCCTCCTGCAACTACCGGTGGCCCCCACCTGCACCAGCCAGTGTCCCCTCTACCCAGAGTCATTCCCAGCCCTTTATAAACACTCTCAGACCTTCAGCATATCTATCAGCATGTACAACCACAACCAACAAATTTCAAGTCACCTATCGTGGGGCACTGACCTACAAACCTTAATATTAAGAGTCTCATGCTTTAGCAATAGCTAGACAGGGCTCTAAACTTTCTTCCATTATATTCATTTAATTAATATGTGTATATGTATGGGTGTGTGCAGCCATAGAGTGTGTGAAGAGGTGAGAGAACAACTTGTGGTTCTGTCCTTCCACTCTGTGGGTCTTGGGGATGGAACTCAGACTGTCAGCCTTTTACCTGTTGAGCCATCTTGTTGGCCCCTGATACCATCAAAAGAAACAAAGTGTCTTTCCTGACTTCACCTTTTACTGCCCCTAGCTTCTGGCACCATTTCTTTGTGTGTGTTTGTATGTGTTTGTGTCTATGTATACATATGCATGTGTGTTCATGGAGGCCAGAGATCACCTCAGATGTCGTTTCTCAGGCACCATCCATCTTGTTTGTCAAGACAAGGTCTCACTATGTAGTCTTGGTCAGCCTAGAACTCACTCTATAGACCAGACCGGCCTCAAATTCACAGAGATTAACTTGTCTCTGACTCCTGAGTGCTGGGATTAAAGGCATACAACACTATGCTCAGTGAACTTTGCTTTCTTAAAAAAACTATATTTGGCCGGGTGTGGTGGCGCACACCTTTAGTCCCAGAACTTGGGAGGCAAAGGCAGGTGGATCTTTGTGAGTTCAAGGCAAGCCTGGTCTACATAGTGAGTTCAGGTCATCTAGGACTACAAGGAGACCCTGTCTCAAAAAGACAAAAAAAAATTCAAATAAACTATTTTATTTATTATTTTTATATTTATAAGTGTATGGCTTGCATGTAAGTGCATCCATGTCATGAAATACTGCAGAGGTCAGAAGAGGGTGTCTGATCCCCTAGAACTGAAGTTATGGATGGTTGTTAGTCAACATGTGGGTGCCAGGAATGAAACCTGGGTCCTCTGCAAGAGCAGCAAGTGCTCTTAAGGGTTGAGCCATCTTTCCAGCCCCCTACTTTTTTTTTTTTAAAGATAGGTATCTCACTAGTGAAGCTTTCCAATTAGGCTAGCCTGGCTGGCCAGTGACCATGGGATTCAACAAACTTGTGTCACCATGCCAAGCCTTTTATTTGTTTATTATTATTTCAATATTTTATTTATTATTTTTATTTTATGTGCATGAGTGTGTTGCCTGCATATATGTAAGTGCACCTGTGTTGTGCAATACCCTTGGAGGTCAGAAGAGGGCATTGAATTCCCTGGAACTGGAGTTATGGATGGTTGTTAGCCACCATGTGGGTGCTGGGAACTGAATCTAGGACCTCTGCAAGAGCAGTCAGTGCTCTTAACCACTGACCCATCTTACCAGCCCCCATGGTCCATTACATGGGTTCTGAGGATCAAACTTGGGTATTACGCTTGTATAGTAAGCACTTTACCCATTGAGCCAATACCCCAGCCTGGTTTTATGCCATTTTCTTTTGAGACAGGGCCTTGCTATGTATCCCAGATAGGCCTCAAGTTCATGTCCTTCCTGCCTTAGCCTCTGGAGCGCTACCTGCATGGGCTCTCCTTGTCTCCCCCTCCTCCAGACTGGCCTTGAATGAGCTATTTAGCTGAAGATAACATTGAACTTCTGATCCTCTTGCCTCCAGCTCCTGAATACTGGGATTACAGGTGTGCTCCATCACTCCCAGTTTATGTCATGCTGGGGATGGAACCCAAGACTTTGTGTATGCTAGGCAAGCAACCAACTGAGCTGCATCCCCAGCCCCTTTACTGTGTGTTATATTGTCTAGGACAAACTCAGACTCTAGAGACTGAAGTGATGTTATAATGGGGAAAATGGAAGGGGATCAGGAACAATGCCCCAATGAAGCCCATTCTGCATCCTGCTTTCCCCCACCAAGGTTCTATGCCAACACAAATCAAGACATCAAGAATGCTTCAAAGGACAGAGAGAACCAAAATTGGACCCTATGCGGCTTCAGGAAAAAATGGAGAGGAGAAACAGACCAAAAAGTATGGAAACCTGAACGCTGCTATGTAAATGCTGTGGTCAGAGCATGGTCAGACCCACGGAGCAATGGGATTCTAAATAGAAGAATGAGCACATGGCAGCGGGGAAGAGGGCTCCTCAGGGCTTTGCCTCCCTAACCTCAGAGTGAGGAATGCAGCCTCTGCGCATGCCCAGTCCTGAGCTGCACTGGGAGCTGCCAGAGGGCTCTGAGCCTGGAATCTGCTTCTAAGTCTGAGGCTCATCAAAGCCCCAGCCTTAGGGTCGATGCTAAGTAAGTTTCTTGCGGGAATGACAGCATCATGGAGTCTCACATGAGACTCCCGCCAGCAGCCTTCCAAGGCAGCATTCTGTTAGCTCCATTTTCAAGTAGGGAAACTGAGGCTTCAGTGTAAATCCTGACCAATGAGATGGTGAGAGAAATCTAGGAGAAAGCAGGGCTGTTAGAAGGGAGAGGTGGGAGAGGTAAGGGCTGTGATGGATATGGCCAGGAGAGGGCATGTCTGGTAGAGGTGTGGGAGGCGATGGTTGTTAAGGCTGAGCTAGATTTCCATGCCCCACATTTTAATCTATTTGTTTCCCTCTTTAGTCCACTTGTCCCTCCCGTGCCTTCTCCATCCCCTCCCCCAAACAGCTTCAAAAATCCTCCTGTTAGATGTGTGGGGTGGGAGCTGTCCCTCTCTCCTTGGTACCTACACCCCACTCCCTATACACAGATGACACCCTATAAATCTGTGTAAACTCTTCTCTCCAGTCCTGGGGCCAGCCCAACCCTTGAGCTGCACTTGAGTGGCATCATCCAAGGGAACAGAAATGGCAGAGCAGGTCAGCCAGGATGCCTTTACCTCACGAGGTTGGCACAGGGTCCAGGCCACCGGCAGCTCTGGTAGACTCGCTGGATCACTGTCTCGGAGCCGTTCTGCACCTGGCAGGACACCGTTCTAGTCACCGTGTGATGGCACCAATGCCTATGGAGACAGCAATAGTCAAAGTCAGCCTTGGGTGTTCCCAGAGGTCCCAACAGCAGATCAGAAGGTCATGTTGGGGATGAGGTTCTCTTAGAAAAGGGGCCAAGATTTAAAAAAAAAACAAAAACAAAAAACCCCAAGACCTGACAGAAGAAATTTAAGGAAGGAAGGGTTTATTGTGGCTCACAGTTTGAGGACACAGTTCATCATGGTGGGAAGGCATGGCAGCAGGAGTATGAGGCAACTGGTCACATTGTATCCACAGTAAGGAAGCAGAGAGAGATGAATGCTGGTGCTCACCTCACTTTCTCCTTTTTATTCAGTCCAGGACCTCAGTCCAGGACCTCAGCCCAGGGAATGGTGCCACCCAGTTAGTTAATTTAATTAACCCAATCTAGAAACTTCCACACAGACATGCCCAGAGATTTGTCTCCTAGGTAATTCTAGATCCTGTCAACTTGACAAATAATATTAGCCAGCACAATCTACCCTGGACCTAGGTCAGCCTTTTATTTATTTTGAGACAAGCTCTCACTATGTAGTACTGGCTGGCCCAGAACTCTTTATTTAGACCAGGTTGGCCTGAAACTCAGATCTGCCCACCCCTGCCTCCCAGATGCTAGCATTGAAGGCATGCACCACCATACCCTCCTGAACTCTTGATTTCTATTGAGCTGTATATCTGTTCTGTGATAGTTAACCTTATCTTGAGGGAATTTAAAACCACCATGGAAACACACATCTGGATGTGTCTGTGAAAGCTTTTCAGAGGCGTTTAATTGAGGTGGGAAGCCCTACCCTGAATGTGGGCAGCACCATCCCATGGACTGGGGTCTGGAATGACTAAAAAGTAGAAAGTGAGCTGAGCACCAGCTTCCTAACTGTGGATGCAATGTGACCAGCCGCCTCACATATTCAGGATGGATCTTCTCACTCAAGTTAATCCAATCTAGAAACTTCCTCATAGGCATGCTGTCCTAATTTGCGTCTCATTGCTATGATAAAACACTGACTAAAAGCAACCTAGGGAGGAAAGGGTTTATTTGGCTTACAGCTCACAGTTCATCATCAAGGGAAGCCAAGGCAGAAAGGAACCTGGAGGCAGGAACTGAAGCAGAGACCATGGAGGAATTCTGCTTACTGGCTTTCTTCCCTGGCTTGCTCTGCTACCTTTCTTACATAGCCCAGGTCCACCTGCCCAGGGATGGCACCACTGTGGACTGGCACCTCCAAAATCAATTAGCAATCAAGAAAATGCCCCACAGACATGCCCATAGGCCAATCTGATGGAGGAAATTCCTCAGTTAAGGCTCCTTCTTCCCAGGTGTCTCTAGGTTTGTATCAAGTTGACAAAAACTAACCAGCACCTCTTCCCACATGTTTGTTTCCATGGCGATGCTAGATCCCATCAACTTGACTATATAAACCATCACAGACCCTCTGTCTGGGACTGAGGAGAAGGAGAGCACCCAGGCCCTCCACCTCCAACCTTCATGTCTTTTTCAGTCACTGACAATCCCTGTAGATTTCATAGACTCAACCCTGCCCTACCTCAACAGATGACTTTGGTGGGTATGACAAAGAAGAGCATGATTACAGCATGTCAGCACAAAGTAACAGGGTCAACCATGTGATGAGACAGGGAGGTATGGGAATGGAACAAAGCAGCATCAATCCTGGGAAAGGCCACTAGCTAAGCATTGAAAGATAAGGCAGTTGGTCAAAGTTGTAGGGGTTGTTGAAGGACAATATTAACAGAGCGGGATAAGCATGGGCCAGAGAACAGGTGAAAGAGATAAATGCATGTCTAGGGACTTCATTTAACTAGACGTGTCTAGAAGAGCTGGGCCTAGGGGCACAGGGAGGCTGGGGCATGGCTCAGTGGTAGAGCACCTGTCTATAACCCCGCCCACCATGAGGGGCTGGGGGTGTGGCTCAGGGGTAAAGCACCTGCCTAGAATCCCCCAGTGAGAAGCTAGGGGCATGGCTTATTGGCAGGGTAGTGACTGGCTTCAGCATGTAAGAAGAAAGGATGGCAGAGCAGGGGTAGCTGAGGTGGAGATCGGGACAGGGCAAATAATGTAGAGATTGGGTTAAGATGACTAGCAGGAACATGCTCCTGCCCCTTCTGCCTACCACCATATCCTAGAAATTTTAAATCTAAAAATAAGTCCCTAGCTGCACTGAAAAATGAGAAGCAGTGGGCTAGAAAATTTGAGGCATCCCTGAGAGACCAAAGGCAGCTGGGAGTGATTTGGAGGAGAACATAAATGGAAACAGGCAGCAAAGAGGGCCAGCACTAATGGTGGCCATAGCTCAGGAGCAACAGATGTGATCACTGAGGATGGGGACCATCCCCAGGTGATTGTCATAGCGATAGGTAAGGAGCTACAGTAGAGGGGGTCATAGAGGTAAGACCCAGGTCTGTGACCCTGTAGGGGCTGGAGAGATGACTCAGCAGTTAAGAGTTCTGGCTGCTCTCGCAGAGGACCTGGGTTCAGTTCCTAGCACCCACATGGCAGCTAACAACTATCTGTGACTCCAGTTCCAGGGGATTTAATGCCCTCTCTGGTCCCTGCACGCATTGTATACACATCATGCACTTACATACATGCAGGCAAAACACTCATACATAAAATATAAATAAATAATAAATAAATAAATAAATCAGTAAATAAATTTAAAAGATCCAGGCTGGAAAACAGAACAGAAATAGGTAGGGACATTTTCTCATGAGGTCTTGCAAAGGCACCAAGGAGATGGAAAACGGGGGTGCAGGGTGAGGTGGCATGTCGGTCCAGAATCTAGGCAAGTACCAACACCTACAATTAGTATTAATACTCCAGGAGGGGAGACAGAGAGAATAAAGAGAGACACTTGAAAAAAATCATAAAGCAGCCAGGTGTGGTGGCACATGCCTGTCATCCCAGCATTTGGGAGATGGAGACAGGAGGATCAGGAGTTCAAGATCAGCCTCAGCTACATAGTGAGTTCAAGGACAGCCTGAGATACATGAGACCCTATCAGAAAGGAGGGGGAGGGTGAAAGGAAAAGGGAGAGAGAGAGAGAGAGACAGAGACAGAGACAGAGAAGGGAGAAAGGAAGGAAGAAAGAAAGAAAGACATAGCAAAGAAAACTACAGTAAAGAAAATTCCCCAGAAAGAACACATGAACGCCTAATCTGAGAGGCCCCACTGAGTGACACGGTGGTGAAATTTCGGAACAACCCAGGTGGAATAAAAGATATGGCTCAGTGGTTAAGAGCACTGTCAGAGGACCTGGGTTTGAGTCCCAGCACCCACATGGCAGCTAACAATCATCTGTAACTCCAGTTCCAGAGGATCCAATACCCTCTTCTGGCCTCTGTGGGCATCATATGTACATGGTGCACTTGTGTATGTAAAGCGAATACTCATAAACATAAAATAAAAATAAATAAAATATTTTTTAAAAATGTTAACTAGGCCAGGTGTGGTGGCACACACCTTTAATTTCAGCACTCTGGAGACAGAGGCAGGTGGATCTTTGTGAGCTACATGTGAGACCTTGTCTCAAACAAAAAAAAAGATACTGAATGCTGTAAAAAGAAAAAAGCAGATTTCCTACAATAAATTTAAATTTGATTTTTTTTCATCAGTGACATCAAAAACAGGAATATAGTTACACAATTTCCTGGCTGTTCCTTGGGGGAAATATTTAGAACTCAGAATTCTATACCCAGCCAAACTATCCTTCAAGGACCAAAAAAAGACCAAATAGGATCTTTAGATGCACAAAGACTCAGAAACATTCAGTTATACTTTCTGAAAGAATTACTAGAGGATGTATTCCAATAAAACAAGTGACAACCCAACAGTTCAGTGCCTGGCCACAATGGGAGGAAGAGCATCCCACACCTACCACCCCCCTCAGGAACTTTTGTGGAAGAGGTTGGTGGAAAGAATGTAAAAGCCAGAGGAAGGGGTAGTATGTTAACTGGAAGTGTCCTCTGACCACTAACCCAGCTATAGTCATACCTTCTTCCCATGCTCATCAAGGGGGAGTCTGTTATCCCTCCCACCCAATCAGTTGCCTTTGTTGCATGTGAAGGAAGGGCTAAGGATATATAAGTCGAGAACACCATGAGGCAGCTCTCTTGCAATTTTACGCAGCCGTCAGGAAGTCACAGGATCTGTATTTGAGTGTGGACTTTCCAGCATAACTGTAAAGGGAGGAATGCCCACTCTTCTGTAAATAAACCCCCACCCTATGCTCTGTTAGCAAGTCCAATAAACTCTTTAGGATTAAAAAAAAATAGAGCTAATGGAAACCTTCATTATTCCACCAAAGTTGACCCCATGTTAGCAAATCCTTTGTTCTTTGATTTCTTATTCCTTGTTTCCCCCTTAAACTTTATTGTATATACATTTTATATATTTTTATGTAACCTGCTTCAAGTTGTCTCTGGAAAAAATGTGTTAAAAATTGCCCCTCTTTGGAATAATAATAATAATAGTAATAATAATAATAATAAAATATTCAAAAAAGTAACAAAAGAGAAAGATAGTGAATACAAGAAGCAGTTTCCAGCAAAGAACAGATGGAAGTAAGTGTGGTGGTATACACCTGTAATCCCAGCGCCAGAGGGACTGAGGAAGGAGGATTACAAATCTGGGGCCAGCCTGTGCTACATAGTGAATTCAAGGCCAGCCTGGGATACACAGCAAGACTGCCTCAAAAAAAAAAAAACTTAGAATTTGATAACACTCTAGATCACTTAGATCAAAAATTAAAATGGAGGCTAGAGAGGTGGCTCAGTAGTTAAGAGCACTGACTGCTCTGCAGAGGACCTGGGGTCCTGTCCCAGCACCTACATGGCGGCTAACAATCATCTGTAACTCCAGTTCCAGGGGAATCAGAAAGGCTCTTCTGACCTTTACAGTCATTGTACAACATGGGTGCACGTACCTACATGCAGGCAATGCACTCAGACACATAAAATAAAAATAATAAAATATGAA